GGAAGAAGAGTATTTTACCAAAAACCTACCGTATATATTATTGAGCTGGACAATTTTTGAGGGTGCCTTGCTGAAATTTTGGCAACACATTACCATGTAATGAGTACAAATACAATCAATATAGAACCATTCTTTGAGGTTCTGAAATACCAGAAGCATCCTAGCATTCTACTGAGTTCAGCAAAATGTTAATGGATAATGACAGCACATCAGGTACAGTGGAGTGCCAGCAGCAAAACAATTAAGCAGCAGTCACTGTGTACCCTACGGTAGTTGCCATAGCAAAAGCTGATTTAATCCACATTAGACTTGCCTGTGGCAAAAAATGCAATCCATCCTGTTATTTTACTATTGTGCATTTTCAATTGCTAACTGCATCAGTTAATTACAATTCCAATACTTCTTTCCTTCAGTTTAGATCTAGCACTGGAATACATAATTTATGGAAACAAACTGATCCCTGTACATTTTTCTTTAGTGCTATATGTGGAATGCCCTTCTCATCATAATTTGCCAACCCACTTCCCTTTCTTAATTCACATTTACTTTTAGAGAAAAATGCTCCTTCCAAGTAACTTGCACACTATTTTCAGCTCTGAATTTCCCAGTGCATTTAGTCTATTACATAGATCTGTTAATGGAACTACTCACATAAAGTTAAACATGTAAGTATTTGCAGAATTACCTGCCTAGATTGTAAACTCTTTGTCAGAGATTTTATTTTTGTGTTTGTGTGCGTGTATTGTATACAGTCCACAGTCAAGTAATCTGGTGGTGGTAAAAAATAATTTAAAAAATAAAAATAATGAACTTTCATTATAGAGATAGCTACTGGTATATGTGATATACTAAATCAAGACTATCTGGAAATAATGGAAAGATTATAGTAGGTCTAGCCCCTGGAGAAGTCCAGTAGTCCCATGGTCCCAGCCTTCTTGGCCTGACCCGACCCCCACCCCATCGAGCTGCAAGCCTCAGCAACCCATCAACTGAAGGCATTCTATTTTCTCCCCTAGCATGTGGCAACACAGCCCCAGTGCTAGGAGTCCCCAGCTCTGGGTGGTTCCAGCGTCAGCAGGCTCCCTAGAGTAGCCTGCATGAAGGTAGGAAGGACCAGGCATGGGTGGGTGGCTGGGGCCCCTCATAGCCATTTGGGAAGGCATCGCCTTCCCTTGCCTTCATTATTCACTGCCTCTGCCCATGCTGCCAGCCCCTGCCAACCGCACTGGTACCTCCTGGTCGGAGGTGCTGACTGGAGCTGCAAGGGCCCCGTTTCCACCAAGCGTTCCACTCAGTAACAGGACACCTGGCAACTAGCATTGGGGGGCTTTCCACGGATTTCAGTGGGCCTCGGGTCAGGGCTCCGTGAAGCCATCGTCCCTGGGGGGGAGACTCGTCCCAAGCGCTCCGCTCGCTCCTGCGGGGGTCGGTCCCAGGCGAGCGGGTTCATGCAGTGGCTAGTTTCCCCGGTAGGGGGCAGCGCTGCGCTCGGGGGCCTCCGAGAGACCATAGAGTTTCCCCGCTGGGCGTTGCCCTCGGGGAACGCCGTGTCAAGAGAGGCGGAGCCCTGGCCTTTTCTTCCCTCTAGCGCTCTATGGTCGCAGCGACGCGCCTGCGCGGTGGCGAGCGAAGCCGAAAGGGTTCGGCGGCCATGGCGGCGTCCATGATCTGCAGCCGAGTGTCGGCCGGGCTGAGGCACAACAGCAGCCGGGCGTCGCTCGGGGCCGCCGCCGCCAAGGTGACCCCCGTGGCCAGGGCGCGCGGGACGAGTCGGGGCAAGGCCTGGCTAGGGCGAGGGATGGGCGCCGGGTCGGGGTCACGGGCTGTGACATTCCGCCCGCGCCTGCGTCCGAGCTGGCCGGGCCCGGGCACTGGCGGGAGGAGTCGGCCCCGAGGGGCCCGTCACTTGACGGGGGGGGTCTCAAAGTCCGGCTCACCAGAGGCGGGAGCAGCCGGGGCAGGGGGCCCGGGACGAGATTCTGGCCCGAGGGGCACCCGAGTCCGGGCTGCGCGTCGGTGGGGGAGGGGAGTGTTGACACTTGTCCCCGGGCCGTTCCCACCTGCGACAGATGCTCAGTAACAGCTGGTATCTGCGCCCCATCGCTCGTGCGATGACATCCCTGTCGCCCTCTTAGCTTTGTGCAAACTGCTTATCTGCGGTCCCGCGGGCCGGTTGCTTCAGTAGGTGCCACTGCTCCCCTTTCTTCCCTCTCCCAGCTGCCGGCTCACGTGAACGTTTGTTGTCAGCCTCTTCTTGCTTCCCTTCGCCTAACTGCAGGAAAGCTAATATAGAACAAAGCATGGGCTAATGAGGCAAACGGTTCGGTTGGGTTGTCTGGGCTTTCCCTTGCCACAAATGGAGAGAGGCTGCTGCTGTTCCTTATCTCATATTACACGGCCGCATCTTCGAGGGGCGCTTGATGGTTAGTTTGAGAAACAGTAGCTCACCATTAAGTTGAGCAGTGAACAGAGTGTTCAGTTACGATAGTGATTCTTGAGATATTTAAGTAGGTTTTGCTCTCCTTTGTCAAGCCTGAATTTCGTCAGTGGTTGTTTGCTTTTTTTGGGCATTGGAAATATAAAAGCCCCTTCAAATTCCAGGACCTTTAAAGATCCGTCTTCAGTTAAAAATCAACATATTTAAATGTAATTGTTGCTAATATCATCTTTAGTCTAAATTAAAAGTGGCATCTGACGAAGTGGGTCTTTGCCCACGAAAGCTTATGCTCCAACACTTCAGTTAGTCTATAAGGTGCCACAAGACTCCTCGCCGCTTTTGCAGATTCAGACTAACACGGCTACCCCTCTGATACTAGTCTAACTTAAGAGACTCTTAAAAACAAACATTTCTTGCCCTTTAGACAGTTTTGAAATTGACAGCTTCAGACAACTTGGGCAACTTTGGCTCCAGTTTTGCAAATTGGTGTATAAATAAAACCCATCGACTTCTTCAATAAGAAAAAAAAAAAGTACAAAAAGTTAAACAATGTGCTATTCTAAACTTCAGCTTAGAAAACACCTTTTTCTAATATTGTTGGAAACCATTCCCTTTTGTATTGTAAACACAAATACTTGGTTTGTGCTGCCTTGAAGTGTATTCTTTAAATTGGGAAAAATTATTCTGTGTGTCCTGGGATAGCTTTTCAGAGTCTTATTCATATTGCACCATTATCAGCGTTGTATAATAGGATCAGAATTTCATCCTCATTTGCTTTGTGTGTCCTTTTGTTTTTGACTAGTGTTGGTCCAGAAACTCAGTGTGTCAGCTTCCCTGAAGAAGTGACTCTGTTGATAGTGGAATAGTGCTGGTTTCAATCTTGGGCATATTTTTCTCTACTTGGCTTAAATGTTTTTGAAACTGGCCTCCCTTCTATGCAGCCTTCTGGTTTAGGGATGTGAAGGATTAGTCAACTAGTCGACTGTCCGATAAGCAAATATCGGATAGTCAACAGGATAGTTGACTAGTTGCTCTCTCCCTGCTCCCCCTTGCTGCCTCTATCAGATAGAGGCAGTGGGGAGGGAAAGGGGGGAGAAAAGAGGGGTACTTCAAAGCAGCAGCGTTGCACAGAACCTGCTGTCAGCTGGGGGCGTCCGCAGTTGACCCAGGCTTCTGGGCTTTCACCTTTCACACTTCAAAGGTGTAGGAGCCCAATCAACTAATCGAATACTGTAGTCGATGCAAAAATGCATCGACTATTTGATTAGTCAGTTACCTGATACTTAACCATCCTTACTCTGACTTATTGTTGACACATGACATCAAATATTGAAGATATTTAATACAGTTAAATTTGGATTTTTCTGCTTTCATGATGATCTGGAGACCAAGATAGCAACACTAAGTCCTGTTAACATGCACTTTATCAACAGTGAAACTCATACAACCTGTTCATTTAATTATTGCAACTGATGTAAAATGCCCCTTTTTAGCCGCTGCTTATTGCTCTTAATTTATCTATTATACAGAAAAGTGTAAACGTTTAGCTTTGAGCATAAATTTTGCTGTCTAAATCTAATTGTCAAACTTCGCTCCTTTTTATGTAAATGCTAAATGTTAAAATGAGAATGTAATTGTTTAAAGACAACTGTAAATTACTCTTATGCTTTCATGTTAAGCTTGCTAATGCTATGGGATTTGATTGGGCAATGTTCTTATTGTATCAGAACATACCATTTCACATAAATCCATTTTTCAAATTCCATGGTTTTTGTGTGTTTAATATAGAATTTGTGATTTTAAACAGAGGACACCCTGTTTGAAAGACAATCACTTTCTTTAACTTTCCTAGGTACTTGGTGGAGGTCCAGGACTATTCAGTAGCCATGGGTTTCAGGTGCAACAGCAACAACAAAGGAGCCTGTCACTGCACGAATACCTGAGCATGGAACTGTTGCAAGAGGCTGGTATTTCTGTTCCACATGGACTAGTTGCAAGGACACCAGAAGAAGCTTACAAAATTGCAAAAGAAATAGGTATAACATTAAAGAGAAAGTATACTGTGTAGACATGGACCTTTTGATATAAGGTGTAACTACTTTTTTGCTTGGGAAGACACTTCTTAGTTCTACGTATCCTCTATTAAGGAAAGCTTCCTGTCCTCCTCTCTGGAGGAAAAAAAAACTTGCTTGAATATTATTTTGTAGCTGAAATCTTGCTTTATTCATTGAAGCTTTCTAAAGCCTGAGATTCTACAATGCAACAATGAAAACAGTGACTTCAGCCAGGTGGCCTAATGATAGAGAGATGTATTGCTGGATCAAATCATGTGCTTATCCTCACAGAGGGAGGATCTTAGTCCTTATCCATGAAAAGGGGGACGGGGGGGGGGGCACTTCTCTTTCTTGCTCCCTACTCTGTGGGATGGCACTTCACACAGTTTAACATCCATAGCTGGGATGTTTTAGGGTGAGGTGGTTGACAAGGGCATATGTTTGTCCAGCATTTTCCCCATGGGCCCTTGCTAACTTCCCTGAGTGTTAATGCAGCATAACTTTTTCCCCTTCTAGATCCAAGTGAAGACCTGGCTGGAGAGGTTGTTGGGGGTCAAAGCAATTATAGGTGAATGGCCTTTTTATGGATGGTCCAGGCTTCCCACTGATCATGAGGGTATTGCTAGATTTGCATGCAGTATTTTTGTGATGCGGGTAAAGGCAAAAACTTACCCTTCTAGCAGGGCAATGTGCTTCAGGTTTTTATGCAAAAGTCACCATCACCTGCTATTGTGTCAGAATTGTTATAGTGGAAGGTGTGCTGAATTTCCAGAGTTTGAAGAGAACCAGTTTTTTAACTCTGCAACTTCGCTACTTTTCTGTTAGTATAGTGTGGTCATTCATTTTGTGAGGAATCATCAAATGTTAAGCTCTTTCTAGGCTGGTGGATGTAAAAAATGTATTGGTATAGTTTATTTTAATGGTAACTTTCTGTTGGCTTGCTCTCTCTGGGTTGACTTTCATGTCACGTTAACTTACATCTTGAATGTATCCATGTCTCCTGGTAAATATGTAGATGTACGTATTTCTGGTTTGAACTTGATCTCCTTCTGTATTGTTTCAGCAATGACTGTCTATTAATTTACAGGAAATAAGCTCTCTAATTTGAAAGATCATGCTTTAGACTTGTCAGTCAGGGTTTAATACAGATAAAGATTTGCTGATTTCACTACCATAATTAGGAGGCCTAGATAAATGTTCAACTTGCTGCAGCAGAGATGGTTCCTCAATCTATATTTCTTTGAAGGTAATTGCTTGTGTCTTTGGACAATGATGTCTGATGTGGTGCTTAGAAGTGAATAAGGAAAAGTTATTTACTTGTTCCCATAACATAAGAACTAGGAGTCATCAAATGAAATGGAAAGCAGGATTAAAACAAAAGGGTTTTCCTAGATGAAGGGCACAGTCAATTTGTGTAACTCCTTGCCAGAGAATGTTGTGAAGACTAGGACTTGAACAGGGTTCAAAAAAGAGCTAGATAAATTCATGGAGGTTAGGTCTATCAACACTTATTAGCCAGAATGGATAGGAATGGTGCCCCTAGCCTGTTTGTCAGGGGCTGGAAATGGATGACGGGAGAGAGATCACTTGATGATTACCTGTTTCTGTTCTCTTCCTCTGGGGCACCTGCTATTGGCCACTGTCAGAGGACAGGATACTGGGCTACAAGGATCTTTCGTCTGCTGCAGAATGGCTGTTCTTATGTTCTTAAAATACAAGCTCAATTCTCAAATCAGAGTACTTGGAAGCCATTTGGAGGCTATACTGTGGCTTTCATGGAAGTATATTAAGTACAGAATTAGAAGTGAAAAGAAATGGAGATAAGTCAATTTACTGGGGCTGTACAGTGTCCCACAGTATAATTTAAATGATTAAACATAGGGATGTGAACGGGTAATTGGTTAACATCACCCTTAACAGTGATGCTTACTGGGTAATGGTTAGCCAGTA